CCAGCCCAGCACGCCGCGCCGGGGCGCTCGGGGGCCCGCGGCAGCGTAAGGCCAAAGTCTTGCCCCCGGAGTGAGACTCTAGCGGAGCTCCCGGGACGTGGCAGCAGCATGTTCGGGGGGTCAAAGGGACGTACTCGGCATGTCTGCGCAGAGGAAGCAGAAGCTGGAAAAGGCAGGAGGCTTTTGTGCGCTCGCTCTTTGTGGTGCAAGCGGAGCAGGACAGGACGTTTGTTGGGCCGTGAAGTTTGGGGGACAGGTGAAGCCCATCCCAGCTTTATTTCTTTATTTTTAAATATGGAAATATATCTATATTCTCCAAAAAAAAAACAACCCAACCTCCCAAGACCACGGCGTGTCACTGCAGTCTGCCCTTCCCGAGGGCCACTCGGGCGCTGTTCTGCCAGGTCTCTAGGTGAAGGCACTATGCAAATCCCTGCGGCAGGTGGCAGTCGGGCTCCGGTTCCCAGTACCTTCTAGTTCTTACTGTTTTGCTGAAACGGGTCCTGGCTCTCGTCCTAGCCGCCCTGGGCGAGTCCTCTTGTCCCCGGACAGGACGGCTGGGCTCATCCCTTTGCTGATGCTCTGTGACCGCGTGTCTGGAGTAGTAGGGAGCTGTAGCTGCGTTTCTGGCCCTCGCTGCTTGTGACGCTCACCCTGCACATCCCTTCTCAGCGCACGCAGGGCAGTGCACGGGCGCCCGGCAGGCTCCTGCCATTGGGTACGTACCCAAGCTTTGGCTGCAGAAGTCCTCAGTATTTTGGCGTAGTTAAGGATGGCCTTTTGGCTCACATCAAGTGTAGTCCTTGTTCAGGCAGGGGAGATGCCAGGATCACCTTGAATGCTGTTGTGTAGTTAAGAATGGAGACGTGACCAGTGCACTGGGCACAACCCGCCCTACGAGAGTCTACTATAGCCGCCCAACGGCAAGAACTCTGCTACGTACTTTAATTTTATGGAGATGGGAGATTTCTCCCTAGCTTGCTCCTTTGACTTTTTGGCTCAGGACAAGCAAGACTCAGGGGCATCTGAAACCCAAGGCATGTAGGAAGCTGCCACAGATCTGGAGGTGTCTGAAGAGTCTGGGCAGGAGGAAACTTGCCGGTGGTTGAACCATGCAGACCTCAACGATGGAGCTTTGCTTAGTCAATAGAATTCGAAACTGATTTGGAAACATGTAATTAAAAAATTTTAATAAAAAAAGAAGACCTCAGCTAGGAGCTGCTTGGCCTTTTGGCTAAGAGCAAGCAAGGCAGGGGGTGCACGTAGGATGCCTGCCTGGTTTTGGGGAGTATCCGAAGCCCCAGACGGATGGGTCTGGGAGGGAGGATACTTGCCTGGAGGTAAGCCACATGGGCTTGACAACTGAGTTCTACTCAGTCAAATTTTGGAACTTGGGCTTTGTCCAATAGAATTGGAACTGATTTGGCCTTGATAAGGATTTTTTTTTGGTAAAAATATATGTCCATATATATATATATTTATATATCCTTTCCCTGCAGGACCAGGCACCTAAGGAAGAAGCAGCCCGGGGAATGCCCTCCACAGCAGAGTGGCAGACGGTCACAGCCAGGACCGGAGCTGCTCACAGCGAACAGGTACCAGTTCCTCCAGTCCGACTGGAGAACAGGTACGAGGCCCTGGCGACCCTGCAGGAGATGGAAGGAGAGGAGGA